TCACATTTTGGTTGCATCACCAATGATTGTAATACTAATACCTATAAACTTGAACAAATACATCCAAATTTTCACGCCTTGTGCAAGCCGCGAACGACGTTGGAGGGCGGCTACGTGTCATCGCGTGGGCAGCGACCCTTGTGGGCTTCTCACAACCACCTAGTATGTCTCCAATTCGACCTCTGGGCCCTGATATCAAAACCATGTTATGGTACTGCTCCAACGCGGCCGCACTTTTCGTTATGGTCAACGAGTGTGATTTCATCGCTATTTTCGGCAAGATCATGGACGACGAGACATGACGAGCGGGCCGTACACTAGAGCAGATTCAGTTGGAGGCATGAGTTGCTTTATCTGCAACGAGAAATGCTGACTTTTCGCTCAAGATTCAATGGCACAGACAAACTGACGGGCCAAATCCCGGGTCCGCCGGACACCTACGACTACGCATGGATATTTGCTGTCTTGAGGAACCAAGTTGCGTAGATTTCGGCAATCAAACACAGTTTTCATTGCAGGAGAACCCAGGTTCGAAACGAGAGTAATCCATTTCTTGAGGGAAGAGCGAGGTGGGAACCAAGAGCACTTCGGGATCGGCCAGAAAGGTAACGCGGATGGTAGAACCTGCGTAAGACTCGCCATTGAGAGCACCAAGAGCATCATGAGCAGATAGAGTTACTGCCAAGTGCTTGTTGCGATAGGAGTGGGAGCAAGAGAGAAAGCTGGGAGCGGTGTTTTGACCAATTTCTTGACATTTCCGAAAGGACAAACGAATCCACGTACTCGAGTAAATCTTCGTGGTCGTCGAATAACAAAGACGGAAGATTGGCCAGTGATTCGGAGTCACGGTCGAGGTGGTGCTTCAAGGAGGGAGGGAATGATCAGCACGGGATAACATTGGTTGAGAAAGGTGTGAGGGAGGACTGAGCGTCGATGGGGGGACAACACAACACCAGCGCGATCACCTCCTAATATGAGATTTGTTAGGGAAGTATGGTGACTGACAACGACGAACAACCTTTAGAACGATGGACAACAGCCCACAAAACTTCCAGTCCACTGCTCGCTTTGCTGTTGCGACCAAGACCAGTCACGACCCGGCGAGCTTCCTCATGGATCGACATTACGACGAAGCCACGTCGGCGAGACCGTGACGCGCCATCGAGGGTTGCAAGAAAGACGCGATGAGATACAGTGCCAAAAGAGCAGTGAACGACTAACTGTAGAGAAGACGACTTTCAGAAAGGCAGGAGAACTGATATGCATACTTTGTGATGCCGAAAGGGATTCCAAGAACGTAAAGATTGCGACGCGTGTCGTTTCTTTTAACTTGGCGGCTTTGGGGCAGTAACAAGGCTGAATATACTTAGATGAGTGCGCGGAGAGATGTGAAAAAGTAGGATTATACTGCGTCGACCCGGCAGTACTGTACCCAGACGTGCACAAAGCTTTTCTGGTCTTGTTTTAACTCAGAGCAGTATGTGAAAAGAGCACACACCGCGCATTCTCGCCAGTGAAAGAAAGTAATCTCCAGAGCATCGTCGAGGTCCTGAGATGAGCGAAAGTCACCAATTAAAGTCCTGAAGAGAGCGATGATCTCCAGACGATTGGCTCAGGATTTGTGGACATAGAGCGCGTGAATCCGAAAGGCGCTCGTACCACTGTCAGGTATATTCTCGACGCGTGCCGCGTTCCTCTCGCGACTGAATTTGAAAACGGGGCTGCAAAGAGACGGGCTGTTGGTGGTTTGGAAAAGGCGATAGATACACCGGCGGGTCGAGACGGCGATGGGCTCGTTGTTGTGTTGTGCTGATTCAGGGAGTCGGGAGTCTTTTCAAGACGTTGTCCGACCTGCAAGAAATGAGCGCAAATGGTCACGGTGTTGCACGAATCCATCATCCAACGTGGATTGGTAACTAACTTTGCTAATTCCGGTTGGTGTTGAAACAAAGATGCGACGGAGAGCTCGAGGTTGGCAAAATGGTTTGTGAACTGCAGGAACATTACATTATCTCCTGGATTGCTGGGCTCCTTGACGAGGGCAAGCGTGAGGTATCCCATTGGAAGAATCGGTTGGAGTAGAGGTGTGACTCATATGTCCCTCTCAGTCTGGTAGTTCAGCCTGAACTTGAAGGTACACTAAGTACTAGTAGCTGTAATAGCTCTGGACCAATTGGTTGTCGCCGCGGTAGTCAGCCTGCTTTTATTTCAGTCCGGAAAATTTCTTTCTCTCCCGTCTAATAATATATTTGAAAACTGGGGCAGTCGGGTCTATATCTACCATGGTGTTAAGGTAAAAAAACGAGCAGGAATCAATAACGTTGGTTTGGCTATTTAAGAGATAGTAAAATGAAGCAGCGGGAGTGGACAGCCGCCTTTGCACGGCTCAATCTCTCTTGACAAGCAGAGTTGACCGTCCCAAAACCAGAGACGAGCACACAGGAAGTGGACCTTATGGGAAGGGACACATACGGCATGTTCTTCGTAGATCAGTTTGGTTTCAGCTGCCGTGAGCTGAATCGCAGCGTAACCACCTGCAGCATAGAAAATGCGAGCCTGAGAAACTTGTTTGCCTGAAGGAAAATCGTAAGCCGAAAAATGGAATCATCAAGAATGACAAACCAGTGCTAGTGCCGCTAAGAACGAATCGTTTCCGCAATAGAGGTGCTAGATGCTCTCCCAACGGATCCGGTATGCTCACATCGCTGTTCCAAGGTCCAATACCATATTTGCCCAGAACATTTGCCGCCGCCCACGAAGCATCATTGAAAGTCGGAGTTTGCCAATTGGAAGGGAGGCTCCCTGCGGAGATGTTAATAGAAGTTGTTAGATGTCATGGCTATTTACCTAGAGTTTTCCAGCTGCCATCGCTGATGATGCTATCGGTAGAGCCATCTGAATAGGCGATCGTTCCAGAACACGAAGCCTGCTGGACTGGCGCCGCCAGAACTGGCGTCCTGTCGGTTTGTCACTTGGGCTGCAAATACAACTGCAAGACCACTGTTGACGGTCAGTGCTGGTACCTGCACCAAGAGGAATAGAGATGGCGGAAGCTACACGCCAAACATCAGCATCATTTGATGCTGCTCCAACTTGGACACCATTGACCCAGAGGGTAAAGACGTCGGCCTGTTATTACGACTTGGGTAGAAACAGCGACCTTGGTAGAGCTGGATGGAAGAGATACTGTCCGACGAAGCGCGACATCTCCAGCGGGCGCATTTCCTGCAGCACCATATCCAAGAAGCGACGGAGAGAGACGGAATGGGAACAGTTGGAAGAGCAATGCTTACGCCATTCGACCAAGGACCGACACCATAAGTACCAAGATTGAGGACAGTGCCCCACGATGCATCAGAAGTCGAAGGTAATTGAAAGTCAGCGGGAATTGAAGTGGTGGCCTTCCAAGCGCCGGTCGTTGTCGAAGTTGATGTCGAGGATGTCAGAATGGTGGAAGAACCGTCAGAGAAAGAGACGAGGGTTGCAAAAAGAACGCCTGCGGGACCAGCTCCACCAGAACTCACGCGGCCCTGTTGGTTGCTCGTAGAGCGAAAACGAGGGATGCCGAGGTACCAGTCAATGGCACGTTGCGGAAAATTTGGGCCTGCTTCCAAATATCGACCGCGTTGGGTGCGCTCCCAACTAAAACACCATTTGCATAAAGTGTGAAGAGATCATGGCGAGGATAGTGGCACTGATGGCCGTTTTGCCGCTCGGAACGGAGTAGGTAAGACGAAGGGCGATATCACCCGTTGGGGCATTGGGAGCAGTTTGGCCGGAAGAGGGGGGTCCATATCCAGTTAGAGCTGGTGAAAGCGTTTATAATGGGGGACGATGGTTGCGTTCTTTCCGATCCAAGCACTTGAGCCCCAATCATTTTTGGAAAGGAAACCGGTGGTGAATGTGGACTGAGCCGAGGCAGAGCCGGCAGAGGAGACAACGGCCACGGTCCAAAAGTATTGAGTGTCGGAAGAAAGAGAACGACCAGAATAAGGGGCAAGATATGGGTTGGGAGAGTTGATAACGCCAGAATCCCAGACGTCAGAGCCACCTGCTGTTAACGCGGAGACTGCGATACGATAGGAAGTTTGTGTGACGCTACGAGCAGTTGAGGCAATTGTCCGCGAAAAACGAGGAGAAACATCAATGCCGAGTGGTGCTACTTGGTTCTCTACGAGAAGAGACCCCAACCGATACTTGGACAACTTCAGTATCAGTTCAAGACAAAAAAGGACAACGCACTCTGTCCATTGGCCGCTCCTACAAAGATGCCTACAATGGCGATAACGGCGAACAGCTGCATTGAAGGGCAGTCGCCTCCATAGTCACAGCCGTTATAATACTGGCGGAGAAGTTGTTCAACGGTGTGCAGGGTGAATCATAGGAACCCGCATGTGATGACATGAAGGACTCCGTATCTTCTCGCCGCGTTGCATGCTGTTGCATGACCTCTTCTGTGTGAGAGTAGTGTGTAATCTTGCTGTAGGGATTGAGCGGAACAGCAAGGCTGTTCCGGTTTGATGGGGTATATAAAGCACGTAGCACTTGATGTACCCTAGGATTAGTTTCGCTACTTACAGATCTAGAGTTCATTACTGTTCTCTTGTGCGCGACTCTGGTCTTCTTGTGGGCAAGACTACCGAGAACAACTCGGTCTCTAGCTCTACACTTGCTGACTTGATGGTCAGAGACTTTGGTCAAACTGTAAACAGCGTGAGCCAAGGGGCCAAGACGATGGATCAAGCCGTGAGTATTTTTTAAGGTATTTATCGGCGGACACAGAAGTATTTCTGTCATGAAGTCTTTGTTGGGTGCGGGTAGCCTAGATAGCTATGTCTTGAGCTATGTGTTAATGTAGCATCGCACAATGATTTACCTAATCCCCCCGTTGAAACCGCTTTTGCTGTCAAGATCAATAATAATAGTATTTGCATACTACAGGTTTCATTTTGGCGCGTTTCTCTAGTTGCTACAGTCAAGTCCAATCCAGTTCGTCCAGCCTACTGTGCTACAAACGAATACGACCCAGAGCCGACCTGCACCTTGTCCCCTGACACTGTCAATGTGCTTACGCCAACAGGGACGACAATTTGCATCGACAAGGACTGGCCCTTGATGTTGTACGACACCGAGAGTTTTCCGTAAGGCGTCATAACCCAGCCACTCGCGCTGGGAATGGCGGCGGTGAACGCAGGAGCAACGCTGACTGTCTTGTACGCCGTGCTGGTGGTTTGAATTCCCAGGACAGACTGGTAGGACCGGTCATCATAGGTGCCGAGGAAGAACTAAACTAGTGTCAGAGTTGAGTCGGGTAAACGGGAAGAAACGTACGTGATCGTGCGAGCGCGCCTCGACTGCCCAGTGCTCCCAGCAAGTCGTGGCGCCATTCTGGATCCAGAATCCCAAGCTCGGGTAGGTCGTCTGCTTGATCAGGCCCGCCGCAACATCAGAATGACCATGGGCCGTCAACATGGGCAGGATGTGCTTGGTACCGAGAGCACCAGTGTTGAGATGGCCTCCGCGCGAGTTGACGTCGGCAGCGACGCTGTCTGCGACCGCCTGGGCATTACTGGGACTCGTTATCACGTTGAAGGCAAGCGCTAGAAGATTGTGTGTTTGGCGATAACTGTTGTCGCCAACGCCAGCGTAATGGTCATTCGCCCAGAAAGCATTGTTGAATGCGGTTTTGACGCCGGCAGCCTGCGAAGCGAATAGGTTTGCATCATCAGTCTTCCCCAGCGTCCGTGCGATCCCAGCCATAATATCGAGCATACGATATCTACATGGAAGCTAGTCAGGTGAGAGAAAGGACCATAATAAATTACTGACAAGTATGCAGTCGCTGACACCCGTGAATCTTCAGTCGGATTGCCGCCGAACGGCGAGCTTTCTGGCACAACCCAGTCATCGAGACCGGTGTTGGCAATATTATTAAGCGAGCGACCAAGCTCGAATTCGATATAGGACTCCGAGGGCATAGTTGTCGGAAAGGATTCTCGTATCCCTATCCCCACGTTACGAATATATCCAGGCGGGTATGAAGATAAAGGCGGCACTGAAGAAGAAAAGTAAATAACAAATTGAGTCGTTTCAGAGAAGGGACTTACTGCCACGGGTCCGCTTGATTGTCTGCACCCCAACCACCGGAGGGTGCGATGACTCCGGGAGGACCAGGACGACCGACGGGAAGCGTGTCAAGAAGATCTTGAGTGTACTTCGCAAGGAACTCTTGCGAGTCAAAGTTGAATAGGAACATTTCCTGAAGCCTGATTCAGTGACCTTTAGATCCAAAAGATGCTGAACTTACAGCACCGAGCTGAGCATCTCCAGCCCAGCCATTCTTCTCCCAGACGGGAGTATCAGTGGGGATACCATTTGCGTTGTTTAATAAGGTGCGAACAGTGACAGCATGAAGCTTGTTGACCAAATCCACGGAGGAAGTAAGTAAATTCTGCCACGGGCAGACTCACATTGGCGAATTGCTCATTGGCTAACCGATAGCATTCATCATAGCCGCCGGCCGGGACCGCTCCAGTACGAAAACGCGCCACCTTGCCATTCAAAAAGCGCGAGTAGTTCAGCGGGGTTCCATCTCTGGTGACTGGTGTCCAATTCTAGCTAGATGTAAGCTAGCTAAATGGGAATATAAACACAAAACATATCAGCTCAGACCAAACCTCTGGTTTGTCGCAATCGAAGCCCAACGGGTAAGAGTCGCTTCCATAGAGATCAACCTTGCCTAGCCCAGGCCCTGCATATTGACCCGCAGCGTTGCGGTCGTTGTGAATTGTTGGTACTTTGGTGATCCCGCCAGCTCGAAGGACATTGATGATGTCTTGCATGTGCTCGTTGAGACCAGCGATGTGCGCGGTCGCGCTGGTCAGATATTCATTCTCGCTTTGGACGGCAATGACGGGTCCATCGGGGTACTGAAAAGGGAGCAGTGGCCTGCGCGAAAGCCCGGACGGTGAAATGTCTTGTTTGAGTCAAGATGACAACTCGCGAAAATACACACTATGGCTCCCATGCGGCTCGATACAATGTTTGGTTTGTGCGGGCTAATCCTAGGATGTTTGTTGCCCAGTATGCCACCTGCAGCCGTTTCCGCGTTTACATACGGTCTGTTGTCATGAGAGAGAGCAGAAAGTGTAACCAAGGGGCACACTCAGGCCGAACGATGACTAGTATGCCAACTTCCTTCGCGACGGTGTAGAACTTGGTCAAATCATTGTGTTCTGTGAAGCGGACTTGATTGGCGTTCAGCGCAGAAAGACCCCAGTGCCCTAGAAACAGGTTACTTCGATAATAGATATTGAGCTTGAAGCGTAACACACAGTCGGCAGACAACGCGTTGAATCCAGCTGCCTTGAATCTACAAGTGCTATCTGTCAGGGTCGAAGCACACAGCCGAATGGACGCACTTTTGCAGAACGTCATACCACAGCTCAGGTGCTGGGATTGAAACCCCCCCCCCCGAAAATACCATAATGCGTTTTCCATCGAGGAGAATGGAGTGCTGATCGATGGTCACTGCTCATTGTAGAACCCCGCTGTCTTGAGTCAGCTCTGTGCAAGGAAGGAAGAGTAAAGGACGCACGGGAGCCGATAGGAAAAACATACTCAGCACTGTTGTCTTCGAATGACTGCCGTTTTGTGGTGGCCTGAACCTGAACAAGTGAAACACTGATTGCCGCCAAAGCAGCCAATGAAAGTCGCATTGGATGAGTTTGAGAGCGAGTTCGTGTAGCCAGAACTTATATCCATAGAATGCCCTGTTGCAATTGGCGGTCATGAGGTGTGAACGGCCCGTCGTGGATGAATTGACCCTTCGCAAGGGATCAGAAGAAGTGGATGCGCGAAGAAGAAATGACACACGGTCATGGGGGCAAGCTGGTGTGCAAGATTTCTCCGAGTTTGCGAAAAGGGATGGCGGCGAGTGGCGCAGCGCGGCGGGGTGGTTGAGTTCAACCAACCCAAGTAAGAGTAGGAAGCAAGAAATCGGCTTAGTCATCAGCCACCCTCAGCACTGTAAGAAATTCAAGTTGTTTGGTCCTAGCTTCTGCTCACTTTCGTATGTAAGTTCAGGCCACCTAATGGTGGTGACCAGCGCAAGCTGGCCTTGTCCTGCTCACTTCAAAGCTGTCGCCTTGCCTGGGGCACATTGACGACTATTCGGGGTTACGGGGCTCGGAGCCGGACCGGCCTATGTAACGCTTGTCACATCATTCTGATTTGGCTCCAAAACCATTACATATTTAGCTCAAAACTATGCTCTCGGATCTGGCTGCTACTCAAACGCGTCAGACAACTTCTCGTTCACTTGAACCTGACTTTGCAACAGTTCTTTGCATTAAACCAGTCAAAGAATCTTACAACAATCCCGTCACAGTTGCACTTGCCAACCTCTCCCCTCATGTTGCGCCAGCTCAACAGTCACAATCTTCTCCGGTATTTGCACCACATCTACCTGAACCAGTCGAAAAGGCGCCGAATGTATATATCAACGGATTCCCTCCCGACTTTCCCGAAGACCAGTTGATCCAGCTGGCAGTTCCATTCGGCACAGTGCAGAGCGTCCGGAGCTTTACGCGCCATGTCGGGAGCACAGTAACCGGCTATGTATTTGTCCTGTTTGTCTTCTTCTCTTTTTTGTTTCTTGTGCTGACTTTCTCACAAAGTTCGACACTATTGCATCTGCAGAGTGCTGTATCAACTGATTAAGACGATGCAGAAACTTGCATCCAACGTTCTCCAAGGTGATTGAATCTTACTCTTGACTACTTAGCGTAGTTCCATTCTCCCGCTCTGCGTATTCCGAGTCGCAAGCTATCCGCTGATCAAGTTTGTCTCTTAATGTTGTCCTCCTCACTCTCTCCTTTCTTCATCCTCGATGCTAATGAGTCCACAGCAAGTTCACAAGATTCCCGGCACGATCTCTGCTCACACACGCACTGCGCCTGTCTTTCAATCAGCGTCAGGTTCCTTCCGAACCGGCAACTCGTCACTTCATGGCTGGGAGGGCAGTGCGAGCAGGGACTCGAGCTTCACAGCTCGTATGGAACGGCTTTCGGACAAGAGCAACACGAACTTGTACACCCAAAGGCTTCCGTTAAACATTGATAGAATGGCTCTAGCTGTTCTTGTCTCTCCTCATCACATTTGCACCAGCCGATTCTTTGAAACACGTCTTGGTTACCCACCACGAATTATTGCTTTCGTTCGGTAAGTTCATCAATGTCTTGTTACCAACTCTAATTTTTCCCTGAGCCTCGAGACGCGCTCTGCTGCGGAGGAAATTATCGAGCGTTTGCACAGAAGAATGATCTGCGAGTGGAACGGTTCGGGCCCGGGCAATCGTATCTTGGTGCATTTTGCAGATACGCCGGAACAAAGGGAGCTTCGAGGTCAGGGTCCTTTTATTCTTTTCGATTCTTACATTTGTTTTTTAGCGGCAAAAGCGGTTGACTCGTGAAGGCGAAGGAGGGACCAGTCAACTTATCTCGCATCGAATTTTTGCGGCAATGACCTCAATCGCCGCTCGAATGATGGGTATCTCCCTCTAAACGATGTGGACATGGCGACGCGTCAATATGCCACCATCTCATATTTGTGGCAGTTCGATGCGGTTCATCACGCTCGTGTTTTTCCTTGCTATCCACACCACCAAATCCTTTCATACGACGATGGCTCACCTTCCCAAACCCAACGCATGAACACTTGCTTACTCGAGTCTCTTCAAGCCAAGGCAGACTCTCGCCACATTTCTGCGATTCCTGTGTCAAACGTTCGCGGACAACAAGGACTTGGATCGCAAGTGGTGGAGCTCATGCACAAATTGGTGGATATACCCCAACCGAGGAGTTGATTTTGCGTGCTTGGTCCAACTCCTTTCCGTCAATACGTCTTCGAAACGCCGATCGCCGCACTTAGATCAATCACAACATGATCATCGACTTACTTTGAAGGAGGAGGAGCTGGTGTATCGTGCGTATGCAATAGGAACAGGTGCGTGCATGTGCCAGTGTGTGTTTAGTTTGTCGTGACTGACAATGTACTTAACAGCTCTTAAATAATCCTTGGTCAGATACATGACAAAGGTCTGATTCCGTGGACAACTTGAAGAGGCTTGAATACCGACTTCTCTCTCACACACCCGGTTTGGAAATCATAGATCGTTGCAGCATTTTGGTTGTTTGTATACATAATAATACGGCCAGGGAATGATTACGTTGAATATTGGCGATAATCGTAGGCTGATGAAGCACCCAGGTGCTTGTAACAGGGGTTACAATGGACACAAGATTGGACAACAGCCTCATCGGCACTGTCGCTGTCCTTGCAATCGTTGCCTCTAATGCATGACTGAAAGAATGATCTGCTTGTGTTTTTTCTTTGGGTAGGTCAATGACGGGGGCCAGGAAATGCAAATGCAAAAGATTTTGGAGAGCTAAACCCGAGTCGTTGGTATTAGGACACCACAGGCGTTGACTTGGCATGAGAACCATGAGGTGGGGCCTAAAGCGAAGTTCTTGACGAAGCCCATGCTCGTGAGGCTGCGAGGAGACCTTGGACGATTACTGGGTCCGTCTGGGAGCCAGAGCACGGCCAACTTCCAAGGCAATGGTCCAGATGATAATTTATGTAGAGAGCAGTCAGCAGGCGATGCTAGGTGGGAGAACTCAGAAGCATCGGGAGGGTGATGCGGCCAATAGCGGCATCGCCCGAACAAGCAGCAGGTTGCAAATGATGGTCTAACCGTCGTGCATAGATGAGAAAGCTGCACATGATGGCGACGATAATAATAATAACAGAGACTCAGAGTGTATTTCCTTGATCTGATGCATCGCTCCTTGACGCGTTGACTCGGAGTAACATACCAAAGATAGATGTCCCCAGCGGTACCGGATAGCCTCAAGAAGGGACTTGAAGAACAACAAGTGGCGTGACATCTAGAGCTCATTATATCATGCGATACATTCAGACAATGCTGCAGAGCAAGAGGCCGTAATATGCGCTCCAGACAAGCGAGAGGATGTCAATGACGAGAATGTAGAGTCGTTGGGCCAGCACTAGCAGCCGACCAGCACAGATGGTCCAGGGACCAGGGGGCGGTGTGGTTTCGACAGTCAGTCGTCTTCTAATCCTGATCTTTGCCTGATCTAGAGCAAAAAGACCAATGGCAGCAGGGTCGGTAAGTACTCGGGAGTCGGATTACATGTAGATGATGCAAGACTCGGATCTTATATATGAAAACACTACCGTGCCGGCATTGACAGAAAGTCATGCGGACGCACGTGAAACACGTGATATTCACGTGCCACCCTCGGATACCGCCCGCCGGTCGCGAGCCGCAGGCGAGCGGCCGTGTGGGCGCTGCAAATTCTTTTTATTATTGTAGTCCATGCCACAGGCACGGACGTTTATACTTGTGAACCTGAAATTCGTATGTCACGCGTGATCGTGATCAGTGATCACGCGACAGTCAGAGTCAGAGCCACGTGCCACCTTCCCTGCTACCTATTCATTGTCGACGCTGGGACCAAAGTCGGCACTCATGACACAGAAGGCAAGGAGCTGTCTATCTTCAATGGGGACTGCCAGTGCAATTCGTCCATTTCAAGATTCAGGAAATGGTATTGAACCCTCTCCCAGCCTCCCACACACCCGACATTCCAAAGATTTTTGATGGCTCTCTGGCTCGTCGATACCCGCAAGACTGCCGCGTTCTATGGCGGTCCGTTTGTAAAATAAATAAACCTCAATAATATGAATCAAAATCTCATCTGTAAATAAGTCAACTCCCATCTCAAGAAGTTGAGAGGCTACCTTGAAATATTTGTGGTCCATTGTGAAATATGGGTAGTTGGGCTAAGCCATTCGTTTTCAGCGAGAAGGGGTTTGCACGTGATCCGGCCCGGGCCCCGACCGAGGCCAATAGTGCTCGGAACTTGGCAGACTTCCCTTTCTGGCCACATTTAGCTTAAATTAATTGTTCAAAATGTATGAACTAGACATTTTCTACTACTATAAGATGAGTGGTAAGTGTAGGTGTTTAACACCAGTCGGACCACCATTAAGATCTACGCAGTCGTGCCCTTCTCCGACAAGCCTGATAACCCAGCTTGTCCTTTCTTCCCAACAGAACGTTCTGCGCAACCAGCTTGTGACTCTCCAAATCGACAAGCTCCTGGAAGCCCAAGGTGATGAGGTCAGGGCAGTCAACACTGGTGATCATTATGTTCCCCTGCGAGAGCACCAGCATGGGCCCCGGCCGGTCGGTTCGAACGCACCACCACGACTTGCTTGCAACATAGTCTTCTCCTCTAGCCATTTTTATGGGTGGTGCAAATCGTGCGATGACACCACAACCAGGACTGAGACTTCGAGGACGAATATGGGAGTCACGAGGAGGAGATGGCGCTGGGGGGCCTTTGTAACTGGGCGGATGTAGCATAAGGAGACGAAGCAGCAACAGCACTAAGACCACAGGATGTGCGGCAGCAGCAGGATGATTTGTTGGATGAAGTGGATGTGGTGCTGATGCTGACGCGGGTTTCCCAACTCCGCATATCCGCCATAGTCCGTTGGCCAGTCACGACGGTCGCATTCAACAAGCGCTGGAGCTGGTAATACAGACGCTGATCTTGGAGGCAAAGGTGGTGGATATCTTTCTCGCTCCCGCTCCCTTCCGCGTGCTCTTTCTCATTCGCTTGCTGAAACCGGGATGTATCGGTCACCACCAGGTAAGTAGTGGTCACAGTCTTGTTCCACAGAAGATGGCAATGGCGGGTAACGTTCTCCACCAGTGTGACGATCGTTTGCATATCTGTCGTACTGTCGCGTGGCGGAGTTGGCCTCGCAGGCTCTCGCGTGGCTCAGAACGGTCGCGAGAGTCAGCGGTCGTCGTATCGTCCATTGCTCAAAAAAGGTGTTGATAAATGTGCTTCCAATGAGCGGATTGAGGCCGGAAGAAGTTGGAGTTGGGGCAGCTAAGGCACTGAAAGCCGTTAGAGGAGCCGATGCATTTTGAGGTTGTGCTTAGATGCGGGCTTGAGATTCGTTTGTGGAGCTCCCTATATGCTCTCGAAGACTTGTTGTCGGACCAACATAGGCTTGGCCTTGCACGTGTGCATTCGCGGCAACTGGAGCAGACCCAGAGCTCGTATGTAGTAGCAAGAGAGTGTTGAGGATTGCGACTGCTGGCAGAAGGCGGGCCCGCACATCTGGTGGACGGCGATCTACCCCAGTGCTAGTTTGACCATTGGTATAACTTGTTGTCTGAGCGGGGCGGTCCCAAGAAGCGTGTGAAGCCGTGGGAGTCGTTTCGCTGGCAGTTTATCAAGTAAGACCCTGGTTGCCGCAAGCACATCTTTTTGACTGCGAAAACGTTGTCAGCAACGAAAGCAAGAGCCTAGTAGCTTCAGACTCACCCATTTGTGGCCCCCCGCATCAGTACCTTCCTCTCCCGTCCTCGAGCCCTCCGTTCCTTTTCAGTTCCCTCTCGTTTCCTGCATGAAGGCGCCTGCCGTGTTGGTGGGAAGAGGAGCAGACTCGGACGCCAGCGTGGCGTTTCCCACGGGCTCGGGCAGGCCGGTCCGAACGCGGAGGCCTTTGCCACGACCCACCTGGCATGTGCACGACACAGGGCTGGAGGTTAGGGGGAAATGGTTGGCGGTTGGAAGGAGGTAGAGGGTGGGGGTATTCGGGCGAGAAGGTCGCAA